ACTGTATCATGCCATCCTGTGTGGACAAATCGGCCCTGAAACCTATCATAGTTGGGGGAAAGATGGCCTTGTCCTCTGCATAATTCTGAAGCCTGTGGAGAACCACGTGCTCCATCAATTTGCCCACGCATGATGTCAGCGATATGGGGCACAGGTTTTCCAAGCAGAGTTTCTTGCCTCGCTTCTGAATAAATATAATCCTAGCATGCTTCCATTGTGCTGGGATCTCCCCGGCCACCCAATACTCATTTATCAAGTCAGTGATCGCCCCGATCGATTTGAAATCTAGGTTTCTCAGCATTTTATTAGTGACCCCATCCGGACCTGCGGCAGACGTAGTACGCAGCTGCCCCATGGCAAACTCCACCTCCGCAATTGTGAACTCTCCATCTAGTTCTGAGTTTTCCACCCCAGAGTAGTGTGGTAAGCAACCGTCTACTCCATCAGTTATGTACCGATTCCGGAGTTCCTGTAAAAACTCTCCAATTGTGCCTTCATATTGATGCATTAACCAAGTCATTTGTCCCCGTTGCGCCGATTTTGTTGCTGCCGGATCCAAAAGATGCATTAACAGCTATCATGTCTTTTTGCATCCAAACTGTTCATACATGCGATCACAAATCTGACCGCACTGCTTGGTTTGCAACTCAATTGTATAATTTTTTATTTTACGTTCTAACTTAGCAGTCCTCCTGCGAAGGACGCCATTATGTTTTTGCTTCTTCCACCTTCTCAAGAGACTCGCGTGCGCTTCCCACATGTGTAATAGTCTCGAGTCAGCGGTAAACTCCTCCTGCTCGACTGGCACTTCTACCGTGGTATTATTTACATCCTCCTTGAGCGCCTGTACCCATGCATTCAGGTCATTAGTTTTCCTGTTCACAATGTCTGCTCTGTTTTTGCTAAATCTATCCCAATCTGTAATTCTATGCCCCCTCACTTTGTCTTTATGCTTTTCAGCGCTAAACGTCGTGGAAAGGATATAGTGATCACTTTCTAGCGCTTGTCCCGTATTAGTTCACTTTGCATTACTGATGCCTCTAAAAAACGGAAGGTCTGGAGAGGTATCCATGCTTATGCTGTTGCCTATCCTCGTATGATCTTGTGGACTGTTTAACAGCGTCCATCGCAGATCCCGAGCAACTTGCCAACGCCGATTGCCCTTTGGGCTGGCTTGAATATAACCCCCCTCCGGGTGAGGCGCATTGAAATCTCCTACCACTATAAGCGGAGCGCGAGCTTCTAACCGTTGAGTTTGAATCAGGAGTTGTGGCAAGCCCTTTTGGAGAACTGTACACATTAAGTAAAACAGACTCTTCTCATACTTTCGTTTAGGCAAAATCTCTAGCAGAACATAGTCTTCCCTGCTGCTATCTACGGAATGCTGAATGGCAGTGATGTTGCGATGGACTAGCGCGGCTGTGAAGACGCGTGATACGCCCCTTGAGTCTATTCTTGGCGCTGTAAATGCCTTAAATCCAGGTAATTTTATGAAACCCCTAGCTTCCTATAAGGCTATTTTGTCTGGTTTACTGTCCAGATTTTGTACGTGCAACTGCAGGTTACCCCGCTTTTGACGAAAGCCCCTGCAGTTCCACTGCCAAACCTCAATTTGCTGGCGAGGCGCCATTATGAGGCACCAGGTTGACTAATGGCACTTGGCCACCCATGGGAGGCAGTCTTGCCTCCAATAGAGTATGAAGCTGCTGAAACATGCCCCTGACCTGGGTTTGCGAATCCCTAAATTCAGTGGAGAGCATGCCGAGACGCTCCTTTATTGTGTCTAATCTAGCTTCGATCTTTCCAACTCGAGCCTCCAACCTATCCTGTATTTTCCCTTGTTTTCCTACTTTATCCGCAAGTGTTGTTACATCCGACTTAAGGCTAATGACCTTAAAAACAGGTTGTGGCATGTCTACTGGTGACGTTTCTGCTAATCGTTTTGCGTTAGCTACCTTATCCCCCGGCAATGGTCTCTTCACTGTCCCCGATTCTCCACTTCCATAATTGCACTCCCCTGTACGCGAGCAGACGCCTCTTGCGTCGCTTTCTGTAGGCCTTGCACTGCTGGTGCCTGTGTTCCCTGCCGTTGGTCGTTTCTAAGTGCGCGTTCCATCTCTGCAATTCTGTTTTCCCTTCACTTAATCAAATCTCCCTGTCGCTGAACCAGCGCTGCTAACTCCCTCTCTCGAGCGGTTTCGTTCTGGGAGGCCGTGCCTGACAAGCTCACCTTTTTGTTGGTGTCGCGTGCGTAGCTGTTGGGACTGGATACTCGTCCACCATCTTGGCCGCCCCCGCGCCCTGGCAATGGCGGGAAAAAACTCGATTGGTCCCTGCTTTTGCTTGTGCCTTCTTTATCTCTCGGTGACCGCTCCATGGCCCTCGAGGACCGCTCATCGTTGCCAGCTTCACTCTCTCTTTCGATGCACTGCTGCCGGCCTGTCGGTGGCTTGCGAGCCAGGCGAAACTTGCACTTCCGGCTCCCTGTGTGATGCGCACCATGGCACACGATGCAGTCCGGCGTGCACGTAGGTGGCTCTCCTTCTGGCGGGGCAGGATGGTCCTTCCTGCAATGGTGACATAGGTTACTCTTCGGACGATAGCAAACGTCCGCTCGATGTCCAACTCGTCTGCAGTTGTAGCAGGTCTCGACTAAATTTCAATACGGGATCGCAGCGTACAGACAGTTTCAGTAAGTAACCTGTCGGGGTATGAGTTTTCCCCCGAACGTAATCTGAATCGCCTTTGACTTTCCCAGGGGTCTCGCGTCCACAATGTCCATGCCTTCATTCTTCTTCAGGAATCCCGCCCGAACTTCTTCCACTGGGCATCCATCATAAGCCTTGTAAATCACGCCCCGCAGGGAGTTCTCTAACGGTGCCACGAACGCCAAATCCGGCAGATCACGATCACCCAGCTTGAGTGCCTTCACAGGCGCATAGGCCCCACTGCGATTTATGCACGGTGTGCTCACCGTCAACGTGTTGTTTGTGCCATTAACCCGCACAATGTCTCCTTCCGGGGCAATCGCACTCGTTAGACGCGCTGCTGCTCTCAGTGCACATCCGAGTTCTCTCGCTGTCAGAACATTCAAGTCCCAGTTCTGGGGCCTGTACACAATCTTGAAATCTGTGGCCGGCAACTTGATAAACGGTCGGCGTTTCTTCCACACCGGCACTTTCCCCCGCTTGACTTGCTGCGCTACGTGCGTCTTGCGCACGTCACTGCTGGCCTGCGTCTCGCAAGGCTTACTCTTGGCGTTGTCGCCATGCTGAGGCTTCTTAAATCGGTCCTGTGCCTTCAGTACTGGAGCCCACTCTCCCGCTTCAAAATCTTGGGGCGTTATAGTCTCCCCTTCGACGTAGTATTCCATATTCAGCCCAACAAGGCCCACGGTCACCAGGCGCAAGCCAGACGCCCGGCGACACGGCCCAGGCTTGGCCTAGGAGATAGGCCTAGCCTTGCCACCGCGGGGTTGATAGGAAAGTCTCGGAAACTCCGAAAACGTGGACAAACTTGCCTAAACGAGTGGTGTCCGTAGGTACAGGGCAACCTCCTGCAGACAAGCCCACTGACAGCAAGCCCAGAACAAAGCTCGTCTGCCCATAGTCGGTCACCGGGCCGGAGCTCTTGCGAAGCATGTCCGCACAGCGTCCCGCATGCGTCAAAGCAACGCAGCGCGGCACGCACCTACGAGTATATGGCAGGACAGGCGCCTGGCGTGGCAACGCCGGCGTGACGCGACGAAATTAACGCCGGTGAGCATGCGCACCGCATCACGCCTAAATATACTGGCGCCTTGACTGTGGCGTGTAGTAATGTTCTCAAATAACACGCATCTCATGATTATAATGTACGCACCAGTCACATACCTTCATCTTCCATTGACGTCACGTGATACCAAATTTGGCATATGTGAAGCTAGCGAAACGGCCGCGAGCGCATCATGAGTGCGGCATGTAGTCATGTTACACGCTGTCTAGATTATAATTTTTGGATGTGTTATTCACATATGTCGGCCATTTGCGTCACGTATTACCAAGTTCGGTACATGTGAAGCTAACAAAACGGCCGCGAGCACATCATGAACGTGACATGTAGTCGTGTTGTTATATGACACGCATCTCATGACTATCATATTTGCTTCAGTCACATACATTCGTCATTCATTCACGTGCCGTAATACCAGATTAGATATATATGACGCTAAACCACTGTGAGAGCATCATGAACGTGGCAAGTAGTCTTGTTGTTGCATGACACGCATGTCATAGTTGTGATGTTAGGGTCTGTCACTTGTGTTTGCCATGCAGTCATGTCATACCATACCAGTTTTGAAACATGCCATGTGAACGAAACCACCGCGAGAGCTGCCGGACTATGAAGAGTAAATCATGACATTCAGGACACACACTTTATGATTTTCATGTTATGGCTAGTCAAATACGTTCTTCATACAGTCATGTCATGTCATACCATGTTTGGTATTGATACCATTATAAAAACGGCCAGGAGAGCTAAATGTTGTAGGTGGAAAAATAGATAGATAGATAGATAGATAGATAGATAGATAGATAGATAGATAGATAGATTAGATAGATAGATAGATAGATAGATAGATAGATAGATAGATAGATAGATAGATAGATAGATAGATAGATAGATAGATAGATAGATAGATAGATAGATAGATAGATAGATAGATAGATAGATAGATAGATAGATAGATAGATAGATAGACTCAATGTCGCCGAAGTTCGCTAATAAATGCTTCGCCTGAAAAAAAAAGATACTCCTAACTGTGAATGGTCAGGGCGAGAGCAGTAGCTATCCCGCGCAGATGGCCGATGAGCTAGTCATTGTTATCAATGAAACATCAATAAATATCTGGCCCTCAAGTTCTTGTGTGTCACCGGACTACAATCTGTTGAAAGATTCAGTTTCGTGCAAATTGCCTCTAGTATTTAATTGAGCGTTAAAGCTTTTTTGTGTGTCTATAGCCATGCAGAACACCAGGATGCAGTCCCGTTACGTGATCATCGCCGCCTTGCTGGCTGTCCTGCTCGTCAGTTCTACCGATGGCAGGCGTGAGTCTGTTTAAATTTTATGGGATGAAAAGCACGTCCAGCTGACGCACATTACAGAATTCGGCCACCAGTCAAGATTGGTTAGAAATACGGCCTTCGTAGATATTTATTTCAATGATATTTTATACTACCCTGCTTGCTGGATTGATGAATGGACGCTTTGGACGCCCCCTTTATAACTGCGCAGTGACAAATACATCGCCAGGCTCTACAAATACATAAAAAAGATGAATGCTATGACGGAAGGATTCTATGAACGTCCCCTTTTTAATGTAATGGTGACATGTGTGCACTGAGATCTCTACTTTTCTGCCACAAGTATTTTAACAATCCCTTAGCTACTTCTATTGCGGAAGTGTTTCAGCTTTTCACGGTTGTGCCTGTAACCCAAAGCCTCATGTTGGCTTGTAGCCACACATATACCTATATGGATCTAATCACATTCAATCAAAACTTAAATACATACAGTGCCATTTGTCGACAAGCACGCATAAGCTCGATGCGTCTTATTTTGCTGCGCGCGAAACCAACACAAATCGCATATAGCAGCCTTTCGGGTGCTACGTTCTGCATTATATTCCGATAGTGCTTATGCGGGGGTTTCGCAAGACCTCTGTTACATACTTCGGTCCCGGAAATGACGTTTAAAACATACACGTTGTCATAAGACAAAAAAAAAGGTTCCGCCAACGGGTGGCAGACGCACTATCCACTGCGCCATGTTTTTGTACTCAGTACACTTTCAAAACACGTCTTCTCACCTGCCACTCGCCTCTCGCAATGCTTTTGGTAAAATGTAGTGGTGCATCTTAACCATAAAATCTACGGTCAGTTCCTTCATCGCATAGTTTCATACACTAATACCCAGAGGGGAATCTGGCGCTGGTGTCTGCGCGGGCTCTTTCAGCGGCGCTTGTACCCCCATGAGGATTATGGGAAGTACAGACTTCGGATCTGCTTCGGAAGGATTACTTTCTTGAGACTCGCGGCGCTTCTTTTCCGAATATAAAACAAAGTATTATGAACCTACGTTAAGTTAAACTGGCTTCAATCATTTGTACGCAAACTTTATGGCAAAAAGTTTTTGTAAATAAGTGGCAAAAGTGAAACCTGGGCAAATTCAATCATCAGGGTATGCATCGCTGTGCCATTGCGTTGCAGATTCGGCATCAATAACAAAATGAATCAATTTTAGAACACTTGAAAACAAACATGCTTGTTTTTCACCGGAATTATGTATTATCTACTCATGGAATAAACAGTACAGTATTAAATGAGAAACGCTTATTGTTTTGTCTTCTGCGAGGTGAGGTGCGCCTGTCCCCGTGGTCTGCCCCAATGCACCTTTGGTTTTGTTGTAAAGTCGAGTCAGCGGAGCGTGACGGTGCATCTACTTAACTTCGTCATCACTTTGCAGTCGATTTATAACGTGTTTAGACAAGACGCGCTCGTGAAAGACATAAACTCGCGGCAATATCCTGCGCTGGTATGAGACGCTATTTCTATGCACAGCGGTGAGTGGACGACGCTTCGTTTAAACTGTCAAATACGACTCGTAAAGCTCCCATGTCGCAGGAAAACTAGTGGAAATCTAGTGGTCGGAAATCTAGTGGTCGTCAAATCAGGAAATCTAGTGGTCGTCCACCTCTTCGAGCAACAAAAGCACTGCTTCAGCCTTTTTCATCACGCCCCCCTACCCGCGCTGCTCCGTAGACAGTTCGTAGACAGTTCGCCAGCTGATTCTATCCAATCCGAAGCCTGTATTTCCCATAATTCCCATGGAGGTAGACGATCGCAGCGCCAGTTTCTTCTCTAGGTAATATTGTATGAAACTCAATGCTTCAACGCGTCGTTTGAGCGCGTCCGTTCTGTTCTGTGCGTTCCTGTAGGACATGTGCAAGTTTTTCAACGCCTAACACTGCCTGGTGGCGACATTGCACAAAGCGTCGTAAGGTCCCGAGCTAAAACTAGCTTCCAAGGTAGCGTCACTCATTGTTCTCGATGCTATCCACCTCACTTTCTCACTTGCCCACTCTTTTCTGCGCCATTCGCCTCTGAAATTGGTGCATTTCTTGCGCGTGATCTCGCAAATGGCAAGTAATGTTATTTATTTTTAAGCAAAAGGTTCAAAACGAGCGCGCATGCGTATAAGGCTCCAGCTGGATTCTTGCCGTGACGAAAGACGAATACGAAGCTAGAACAAACTGTAGAGGAGGAGCTTTCCAGTTGGTGCCAAGTCGGCCAAGATTATTTCGCGATGCAAGTTCGGTACAACATGTGAGTTTTATATGCGAATGCATTTCTTAGTCGGGCTATATCAGGCGTCCGTCGGTATCCGTCTATCACCCTCTCCCACAGCAACAGCTCCAGCAACACCGACTAAATTCCAAAGCCGAAAGGCTGCCGCAGTGACGTCAGAGGTTGGAGGCCCAGTTACCAAACTGAGCATGCTCAGTAAGACTTTTTTTTTCACATCTTTTATTCGGCCCAATCAAGCCGCAGCAGCTGCGAGAGCGGGAGCGTTTGTTCTCCTAAAACGCGAACGAAACACCGGCTTTCCGCAGTGTTCGCGGCGTAACTGGGCCTCCACCCTCTGACGTCACTGCGGCAGCCTTTCGGCCTTGGAATTTAGTCGGTGTTGGCTCCAGGCACGCACTTACCTACCAACTGGAGCCCCCACCATGTCAGCAGCTGTCAGCAGCAGCTGCGGGCGTGCGCACCGTGTACACTTATCCTCGCCCCTATAGCAACCGGAGGTTACCCCGTCCCCGTGCTTGACTTAAACGTGACTTGCCACCGCCTCAATGCAGTGCGTTTGAAATGCGTTTGTAGAGTTTGTGCTGCCAGAGTTTGTTTAGCTTTTGTGTATATAAGACGCTGACACTATGGCTGTCAGGCACAATGACAGGTGCAGTGCTTCACCGCTCCTTCTCTCGCCGTTCAGTCTTTCTCCTCCCTGCGTCCAACTTTCCCGTCCGCTCTCGTCTAACTCTCGACCGTTCGCTGGCTGACCACCTCTCAAGAACATCGGGAAATGTGTGCTCGAGACGACTCTGCAAAACGCCAGCACCCAGCCGAAAACGCTGTTTGTTTTGTTCACTTCGCACCAGCTTCGCCTGCGTATGACTCCACTTTCCCATCTTACGCCCACCCCGCGAAAAATTATGGCCGGCCAACACAGAAGGCACAACGTGCGTTGCGTTTCACTCTAATCGCCAGTGGCGTTCAATGAATTTAACACACGGCGAATAGGCGACTTTAGAAGAAATCTGGCGTACAATCTGTCATGCTATTCTCGCTCCCAGAAGGGCATGATATTGCGTCTGATGCTGCCAACAATGCAATATAAAGAAAAATAATGTTCACGTCCTCGTTTATTGTTCATGAAAATAAGGACGGCAATACTAAACCGCATCAAATATTGCGATCGGAACGTTGTTTTGCACTGCAGATGCAAGTGAATACAAATACACCAAAGCACTTTTCAGGACTTTTTGTTCTTGAAAGATAATACTTATAGAAAACTACATCACATGCTGCAGATAATAAATTTTTCGCCAATGTCTCTCGGACTCAGACCGCAATTTGCAAACTTGGCCTAGTCATTTCAGTGGCTTGTTAAGGACATTCAGCATGGCAATAGTTTTTGACGTGACAGCTAAAAACGCCTATTGTTCGATGGCATTGTAATTTGGTCGAAATATTGGGTCAAGCGTTTCCACAACAGTTCTCCCACACTGCGGTCATAAAGAAAACTTGACTGATCCGTTGAAATTTTTATTCGAGGAATCTTCCACTCGCTCAAGAATGAATCTTCAGGGGAACCGAAATATTATCCCGGTGGCTCTTCCTGTTGAATATTTCTCCCTGTTTTTATATTCCCTAAAGATTTCGTATACTTGGGCAATTGCTACATGTACTTTCTTAGACAATTTTAAGGGACATTCATTGCTGTGGCTTCCGACGTCCGGCGCTCACTGATGTAGATGCTCTGCCATATAATCTGTACCGCAACGCGCATACGACCGCATGACGTGGACAACTTGCGAACTTGTAGAGAAATATTCTGTATATGCGCTAATACCTGACGCCATGGGCACATGCCAAAATTGAATGGACATTGTTTTCTGGCCGGCTGCCATCTTAAAAGCGATAAATGATCTTTGAAGTATCTCTCTTGTTGTAAATGTAGGTGCACTACATTGTTTGGTATTACCACGCAAGTCGTACCATTTATAAAAGTGGCGCCACAGTGCGACCGCTTACATCTCTAGAAAGTCGGGGAAGGGTTCGAAAGATAGCTTGCTTTTATTAGACCCAACTATTGATACTGACATGTAATGTAGCAAAAAAAAACAAGCATTGCCCGCAATATAGGTTGCTTATGGCTGGAGGTGTTACTTAGGTGAGCAATAATCAGACTGAAATTGAGACTTACTATCAAGAAGTACGGGCGATTTTCTTAAATTGAAGCGGCTACAGACTAAATGAAGTTCCAAACTTTTATTCGCATTCTTTACGGCGAGATCTTACGTTTCCGTTCAGTTTCTTTGTGCTGATCTCTCTTCATTGACCGTGCAGTCACGTGTACTTACATGCATATTCAAATTTGTACTCGGCGCCCACACATCCGCAGGTTCTTCTCGGCGTGGGCGCTTCAAGCATCTACAGCGTCTCATCGAGCAGCAACTTGAGAGAATATTTGATAGCGAAAGTGGAGAAGGCGATGGTAAGTCAAGGCAACCATTTTATACGAAAAAGAAAGATGTTACCTATTCAGTATTAGGCTTGGCAGCTTGAGCTTCAAGCTGTTTTCTATTGAACGGAACTTAGTAGCATCACCTGACTTCCCACTTCAAAGACATGTTTTCTTGATAATTTGTCGTAGTACTCCTTCAGCAAGTCTGCACAGCCTTCATCTGGCTCTCCACAATCACTTTTCTTCTTCCAAGTACCTGAGAACATCCAGAACGTACGAACGTACGAATCTCGGTTCTGATCAAATACTTTTCAAGATTCGCGCACCATTCGCAATGGCAATTTTAACCTCCGGCCATATACGAACTTGGTTGTGCTAATGCCAGGACTCTTGTGTAGCAAGTCTCAAAGGAAACAATGGGCGGAATACATGCGTCCCAGTCGAATTTGTGCTCATAAAGAAGAACACTCAGTATCCGGTTATGAACAGGACGTAAAAGCCCTCCCGTATTATATTCCGGTTGATGAATGTGCCAGAGCACCACCTGGATTCCATATTTATCAAAAAAGTTACAGGTGAGGCAGCTGGTGAAAATGTTGTCTTTGTCTCATTGAATTTCCGATGGAAATACAAAGCGCGTGGATATCGAGAGCTGCGCATCCACGACGCGAAGAGAAATGATCTCACCATGTGGTACCACACATAAGCATTTTGTGATTACCCAGAGCGCAGTCAGAATGTAACGAGGAACTTCCCTGACTCATTCTGAAAGATAAAACTGTGGCGCTGTATATAACAGGTACTGGAAAAGACAAGAAGAACACAGACACACACTCGCAACTGGAAGTTTACTGAAGAGACCACACAGATATATACAAAACTTGTGACAAGGTACAGGTTCTCTAGCAAAGAAAAACCGAACAAACAGAAAAAACCTGTCACCAAAAGAACAACCATATTTTTGTATGCTATATATGTGTTGCTTCTTCAATAAGCTTTATTTTGAGAATGTGCACCAGTGTTGTTCTTCTCTTCTCTAGTCCCCGTTACGTTCTACGCCCCACTTTACCCTTCACAAAGAATCACTACCAACCAGTACGAATGGCTGCTTTGCTACAATACATAGCCTTGACCCCCGCAATGAACCAAAAATATTGATTGCTAAGCGCCGAAAGGTTCTATTATAACTAGTACAAACTTCATGGGCACCTTCTACGTGTGCGTTGGTTTCACCACCCTCTGACAAGCGTCGCAAGAGCAAACAAGTTCATCAGCTTACTTGAAGCTTTTCGTACAGTAAAACTAAAAAAAGACACTTCTTTATAGGTTGAGATGTCATTTCCAACATTTTCATGAGCAAGTTTTCATTGCTGCTGACGATACATTTGTGCTATCAAGAATTTCTCGTGCTTGTGACGTTGCATGTTTGTCTATCTACAATTAACATCCAGGATTTTTTTAATGCATTATTCATAAGTTTACGCTTTCCCTGAGTGAATAAGTTGAGAGACACTGTTCTCAAATGAAGGTCTCTCAATCAGCCCTCGACAACTCACAGCATCTTTCAGCTACTGGTGTGACTGTACTGCCCGTTTCTCCCATAGGTCCTACTTAGGTTTCCACGCTGACGAAACAACGTTGTCCACTTACGGATGGCTATAGTAACCTCCTAGATTTATCTGTCAATTACTTGGTTGACTAGCTGCCAAGCTCAGTCACTTTAGCAAGTGTTTTGCTACATGTAGCGCAATTCCTGTTCCTGTGCTTGCGATCACGTCTATGCTGGCGATCACGTTCATTGCTTGAGATCACGTCTGTGCGATGTGCGCCACGCTGAAAAAAAAAACATTATTTACCCTGCTGCCTGTGAAGTTGTTGACATTCATTCAGAAAAAAATAATGAAACAATTTGGAAATGCGGCAGACACAGCCGTTCCGATGTAAAGCTTGAACAACTGCCTTCAATTATCGCCATAGAGATCGGTAAGCAAGCGCTCTGCTCTTCGCCTACGTGCATGTTCCAACCGCGTTCCCTAGAAAGTTATTCGGTGATGCAAAAGGTGGGCAACTTCCATCGTTTCCGCTGAGTGTTGATCTGCCCGACACGTTTTCGCATTGACACTAACCTCCTGAATACACGGCTCTAACGACTACGTGTTCTCTTCTGATTGCCAGATTATTTCAAAGGAACCTCCTGTTTAGAAATTGGCGCGATGTGTTTTTTTCTTTTTACAGTGTATATTAGATTACCGGCCTCTGTGACTCAAGCAACCGGGTGGCGTCAGTGCGTCGCTGGGGAACATCGCTCGATTTCTACGCTTTCATTTGCCTTTCTTTTACGGTGTCCTTCGTAAGACTAGGCTTGTCTAAAATTAAAATGTGGAGCGGGTTTCGTTAAACAGGCTTCCTAGAAAAGCCCTTATTTCATGCAGTTTTTTCAAAGGCTACTTCACTACATTGGAAATTTTGGCGAGTGTAGTACTCTTCAGCTAACTTTGCTTCCTTGTTTAGCCTTAGACCTTGAACTTACCCTGCAGACAAAGCTTGCTGCAGCTTTGGCTGCGAAATAGCTTCAATGAAATGCATTCTACCACTCTATCGCAATCATCATAAGCACCTTCGCACTTGGGCCCTTCACATGAATCGGCTTTGTGCCGGAACGCGAAGTCACCATCACACTAATTACGCCATTATGCATAGCGGAATCATTGCCGGAAATGCTCGAGGGAACTTATAATATCGTCACGAGAGAGCTTCGTTAACTTCATCATCAATTTCTAACACCTCCCTGGACAAGCGCGTTGTTATGTCGAATACTTCCCCGAAAAGCATAGCCAACAGGTTCTGTGGCCTGAGAGCTTGACGGCATTTCGCAAACAGACGTGCTCGAACTTGAAAAGATATTTCGCTATGTTCTCGGCTGCTAAGACCGCTGGTACGAATTGGTCTCATATTTTATGACCACTGGCCTGAACCTTCGCCGAAATTACGCTAGGCGCCCGCGAACACTGTCGGAGTGGTATTTATAATTTATTCACCTCGAGGTGCTCCTGTCTTTCCACCTCCTTGCGCTCAAGGAATCCTATCCTTTCGGCGTCCTCGCGCTCACTGAGTTCTCTTCTTTGGGCCACTTCCCGCTCACAGCGTTCTTTGATGTCAACCCAGGCCTCATCGACATTCTCAGCAGTTACTCCCCCCTTCAGGATACTTTGGACCACTTGCTTTTGTTTCACAATGCCCATAGAAAGGAGTAGTTTCTCGCAAACTTTGCTGAGTTTCTTCATTTCAAGGTTTTCGATCACTCACTTAAGTTTCTTTCTGTTTGCCCGAATTGAGAACCTACTTGCCCTACCCACTAAAAGTCTACAAGCGGGAACAGCAATACTTCTCAACACCGAAACGTTTCCGCCCGCCAGAATAACTTCAGTTTCCAGCGCTGCTCCTTCGCTTGAAATAATTACGATTCACTGCAATGCTGCACAGAGCCTTTCTCCAAACTACCACATGTGCTAGAGGAGCCTTCTCAACAGAAGGGCAAACATCGGGGGCTCACCGCATCGAGGTAGCTTACGCTGACCAATCCCACAGCTGCCATCTACTGTTCGCTAACGGGTGTCTCAGGGTGTGGCTACACGAAGGCACAGCTCATAGACGAAGTGGAAAAGACCACGGTAGGTTAAGGCAACATTTATGTACAGAAAAATCTCAGGTACTACATATCTGGCACCCTGAGTGCTGCCGATACGGTTCACACCAATTTGTGATAATGAAAGTGCAGCAGTTTTTTTCTGAATATTCATGCTGCTATTCGCTGCACGCAATTCTTCGCCATCATCCGTCTCGTTAATGAAAAAATCTTGCGTTTCTGTGTCGTTACTTTGTGATGAACTATGTTAATAACCGTGTAGTGACATGCAGTTGCAGGCATATTCAAGTATGTACTCAGTGCAGACGCATTCGCAGGAGAACCTTGGAGTCCGGGCTGCCAGAGAACAGAGGTCTACGATGAATGCGGAAGCTTATGTCCCCGCGTCTGTGGCGAACCAGTAATCCAGGAGTGCAGCCAGGAATGCGTGGTGGGATGCGTCTGCCGTCCTGGTTACATCCTCGCACCTGCCGGAGGAGGCTGCATCCCAGAAGCACAGTGCAACCAGTGGTTGAGCACTCGTGGCTATTGAAACGAGGAAAGTTTCGTAATGAAGGACGCAAACTCCCAAAACCACTGACATTGTTATTGTAGTTCGTAGTAATTAACAATAAAATCATTCATGCGTGTATCGGTACTGCAAGAGCTCATTCATGTTACTCGCGTTCACACTTTTTCTGTAACAAAGTCTCTAAAATCATTCACCATCACTCGTTTGCAGTTACTATACGAGATGAAAATAATAAAAATGCATTACCTAATAATTTATTTTCTCATTCCATTATACTTCGAGGCAAGTTTGCACAACCAGGATGGGGGTTACAGTTTTGCTCTCTCTCTCTTGTACCCCTTTTCACCTTTCTTCACATGTAGGGTAGCACAGTTAACGTATTTTGGTTATCCTCCCTACCTTCCTTATATTCCTTCTCTCTCACTCTCTCATTCAGAGTTTCTGTATGAAGTTAAAAAATTTGCCCCGTATCTGCATGTTACACTGCACACGTCGTCGAAAGACGATAGTCTGGCGTCTGGAGAGAGCGAACAAAACGTTTATTAGATGTTCTGCGCAAGAAAATCGGCGAATGGTATTCTGGAGGAGCTGCGTTAGAGTGTCTCGAGCCTGCAGCGGAGATGAACAAGCGGCTCGTCACGTCACACGTGAGACGTCAGTGCCATCTGCCAGTTATCTTGGAAAACGAAGCCCACGCGCCCTGTGCGCCCGTCTCGGAGGTGATAAGGCGTAGAACGCAAGGTGATGGGTAGGTGTCACCACCATACCGTCTTAGCAAAGCGATGGAAGCACTTGCCTTTTCGTGCAAGCGTTGCCTGGTCAGCGCAACCTGATGAACACTACGGTCCTTGCAATTACTTATGTATGCCGTTTTTAGGAAGAGACACACTTACAGAATATTGAAGTGTTGTTCTGGTGCCTCACATTTGCGCAATAAGTGATTTTTATTTGACAATCGCACAAGTATGAACGCCGAATCTTTAGCAATATAGGCGCTGCAGATGGGGTCGGCCGTTTGGAATATCGTTTGGCTACTTTGGTGCCGTTTAAAGTACCGTTAAGGGCAGACAAACAGACCAAATTTTTTGCGTTGAAGGTCCCCAAGAAAGACTATCGTCTTTAAAATATTACGGCAGCTTCACAGCAGTGGTGCCATGCCTGAGGGAAGTGCCGAGCTAAGTGGTTTACGTTGTTTCTGCTTATCTTTGTTCTGTCTGTTTTGTTGTCTCTGTTCATTTGTTTTCTTCTCTGTCTCTCTATGTATATATATATATATATATATATATATATATATATATATATATATATATATATATATATATATATATATATATGACGCTATAATGAATGGGCGACGTGGCCTGGCTCATACCCCATGTTTATTCTACTCTGCACTTCTTCCTTCTCTGCCTCTACTAACCATCACTTGATACGTCACACGATTCCTCCTCCCCTCAAAAGATGGCACCGTTTATAACCTACAAAAAATTGAAGAAGCCAATAAACAGACAATGTCCAAATTCGCAGTTTCACGTCCCGACGGAGTTCCACAGTCTCTTTAAATCTTCAAGCCCGAGGGAGCAGTCCGGTGAACTCTATAACAACTCTGGTGGGCGAGGCTGACTGTTGCGTTCCGGACAGAGCGGGATACACGTGGATACTGACAGTACTGCTAGAAGTCTCGTTCGGGCTGACCAAGGTTGAAACGCCTTGTTGCATCGGCAGCTCGGATGTCGTCGGGGTTGTATTTTTTGCGTGAATGGTGCAATCCCAATGCTTCTTGCTTGCGTGCTTCTCGACAGACTGTGATGGAGTACCTGAGTGCTTGCAGTTTGCAAGCAGTGCTTCCGCGTCTTTCTCGGCGCTTCCTGTGGTGTTGCAGTCGGCGGAATAGCAGGCGCTGGGAGCGTTTCTGGCGACTTTTCTTTGTCCGAAAGTGTCTGACGCCTTGTTGGTTTGGAGATCTTATTTTTCGATGTTCTTCAAATGGTGAACGCGCTTCCATTGAATTAGGCGTTCGTCGATGCCCTCGTTGCAGTCTCTCTCGTTGTTTTCTGAGTTTGTGAACTTCGTTTTGCTTGCTTTGCTGGTGCTGCTCAGGAGATGGCTGTAGTGGCACCCGTTCCGGAATGGTGCATTCATTTCGTTCGGTGTTTGACGCGTCCTGTAGACAGCTGATGAATGGTGAACTGGTGTCTTGCTTGTCGGGCATAGTTGGCAATGCGTCATCATTGCTAGCATGCTCTTCAGAGGCTTCGGTGACGGGGTTCATTAAGAGCGCTTCCGAAAGACAACTGTGTACGATGTTTGATGTATCATTCACTTCTGAATTTGTTCGATTCATGACTTGGTGAGCTCTGCATGTGGGCACCACAGGTGACCTGGCATTACTAGGTTTGAACTGCAGATTTTGGCGAGTCTGCGTTGCCGTAGAAATGACACGAAGGTCTTCAGGCGCTTCTTTTTCGCTGTTCACTGCGAGTAGTTCTTGCGCCTGGTAGCGTGCGACGTTCGATGCGTCTGAGCCTTCTGCTTTGCTTCGACTGTCCATTGTGTGTGCACCGCATGGTGATGAATGAACATGTCCGGAAAGAACATGGCTTGACAGGGTATTTTCGTGAAGCGTTAGGTCGTCTACCGAGGTTGCGGCGTCCTTATGAGGCGAATGGTGAACGATAGGAGCGCTTGAAAAACCACGTGACGAAAACCCAGGTGGTAGACCCCGTATGCGAGACGAAGAGGGCTGGGCATCAGGTGGTTCAGCAACGTCTCGTGTCATATGCTGAAGCGATGACTTCGGAAATGCCGACTTTCGTGTACAAGGGAGACGCGCTTGACGGTTGGGTTTTTCCCAATGTATGCATGGCCTTCTGTAAGTAAACGCATGTGCCACTTTGTCTTGAGGCACTTGTCGATTCACGTTGGACTTTCGAATGCTTGAGGACTGCTTAGGAAATGGACGATAGTGTGCAGTTGTCTCTAGATGGTTGGCAATGAGGAAGTCTTGGTCATAGTCATTAAAACGGGTAATCATCTCTTCTTTGATTTTTTGCCATGACTCGTGGTTCTCGAATATGTGAATAAGGTAAAATTTAAATGCCTCACCGGTGACGTAGTCACTGAAATTCGTAACCATCTCCCGTTCCGACCAAGATGCAGCGGTAGCGTGGAGTTCGAACAGGTTGAACCAGTCCTGTACGGGTCCATCGTCCGCTGATCCGGTGTACTTGGGGATGTCGAGGTCAGCCGATGGTTCTGTCATGGTGCTGGTCGTTGTCCTCCTAGGCGATGATTCGGTATTCAATGTACGGTCAGGGCGTCTTCTGGGGAACTGCGTCAATGATGAGTGACTGATGAAGGGGCAGGCAGGTCTTCATCCTGTCGACTCGTGTGACGCTATAATGAATGGGCGACGTGGCCTGGCTCATACTCCATGTTTATTCTACTCTGCACTTCTTCCTTCTCTGCCTCTACTAACCATCACTTGATACGTCACATGTATGTATGTATGTGAACGCCTATGGTTCCACTGTTGCCAACTGCCCACCACTTCATTCTTGTAATTATCTCACTACGCCCCATCACCGATCCACCGCTTCACCGACCACAAGACAAGAACTGTTGAGAAGTGGCCATTATGAAATGCAAGATGGTTGTGCACTTGTATCCAGGAGCAAGTTAAATAACCATACATTGTTCCACTGCGTCCATCCGTTGTTTGTTTGTGACCGACTATAGTTCCACATTTGCAAACTGCCCACTTCTTCGCCCTTACAAACATTCCACTACGCCTCGTCACCAATCCACCACTTCACCGACCATAAGGCCATTATAATGAAAGGGCAGCGGAAGTGACGTACGAATAATAACATTTACGAATAACAAATAATAGTTTTTTTTGTACAAATGTATACAGTGTTTGTCGCGCCTTTGATAATGTAGTGGGTGATATTCGCGGATGGTTCACGGTTTAGCGATGAAATCCTCCAGCGCTTCACCCCACTCAATATCATTCACTCCGTAGATATGCTATGATATTTTCTCCTAGTGCGCACCGATGTTCTGGAACGCACCCTCGGTGGATTTCATTAATTAATTCAGCTCGACAGAAACACCTTCTTCAGCGTCTGTGTAAGCTGGCCAGAAGTGGAGGTTGGCCACACTCAGGCAGCGATGGTGCTGCATTTCACGAACTGCTCATGTGACCCGCAGCGTCTTCCCGAAACAACAGTGATGCTATTGTGCGAAATTAGATGAAGGGATGGTAGTACTTTAAAACACACAACATTTCATTGGACATGCGAGATGTGTTACGACAACGTGTGCTGTGCTACAATAAAGTGTTATAATGTTACTGCACCAAGTTGATACACCTAATGCGAAACATACGTGTCGGGTTTGTTTCAAGATGCAGCGCCTACGTAAGACTCAAGCTGCGATGTTGACAGTTTGGAAAGTTAGTTGGAACAACAGAAATATCAAACATCAACAATCACAAAGAAAACAACAAAACGGCAGATCCATCCATAAATTATGTTTTCAAGCGCAGGAATATGGTAAGTATTCTTGAAAGTTTTAACGAATACCACAATGTTTCTTGTTACAATTAGGTGGAGTTGCAGTAGGGGTAACTGAGTAACTTAGGGGACGAGTTGCAACTCATAACTACAGAGTTAGGCAAGGAGAGCAGGAAGGTAATTCTTAAAATTAATATTCAGAAATTGAAAGTAATGTACAACAACCCCGGAAGAGAGCAGTGCTTCGAGATATGTAATAGCGCACTTGAAGTTGTAGAAGACTATGTCTACTTAGGAAAGGTAATAACGGCGGTGCCGAACCACGAGATTGAAGTAAATAGAAGAAAAATAATGGGGTGGAGCACATGTGGCAAGTACACTAAAATTATGATAAGTACATCGCCACTATCCCTCAAGAGAAAGGTATATGACAGCTGCAACTTCCCGGTACTTAGCTACGGAGCAGAAACCTGGAGACTTACAAAGAGGGTTCAGCCTAAATTGAGGATGACGTAGCGAGCAGTGGAAAGAAAAATTGTAGGTGTAACTTTAAGAAACAAAAAGAGAGCAGAGTGGATCAGGCAACAAATTGGTGTTAAGGATATGTTAGTTGA